TCATACGCGATCGCGTTGTGTATAGAATTCAGTTGATCTACCTATTCTCCCACTCCCTGTCCGCGCCTCCCGCGCGCTCTCGCACGCATAACAATTGGCACGAAGATCGTAGTACGGACGCCAGATGGGGAATTAATTAGAATAAAGGCATTTAGTGCCTAAGGCTATCGAGTGATCTTCTTAATAAGTCTCGAGCACGCTCAAGACGCCCAAGAATTGGTTTATCTCATGAATTGAGAAGACTTTCGAGTGTCCACTCGAGAGTCCCACACATGAAAAATAAATACCGAGCTCATGATAAAACAATCAAGCGCGTTTTTTGGACCCGAAGATCTGTTCCCTCAAGCGGTCTCGCTTGCGTATATTCTTCACTGGACGATGAACTTGCTAATGAGAGAGTTCATTGCGATCGCATGAGAATGGCCAGGTTTGGAGAACTTTTAATGATTCTTCCAGCAGAGAAAGTTAACGTAGTGTTTCTGTGATCTTCAGAAGCTGCATCTTAAGTGATCTTGACACGTAGAAAATGTATGTTTGATTGCCTTTTGTGCCTATAAAAACGCCCACAGTTGACATGGGCAGAATATAATAAAATAATGTGCCACATCGCACGTTCCTTTTCCACTTTGGAGTGCAGCTCTTGCAGCAAAAGTCACATTTCGCACGAGCAGAAACGAAATAGATGTGCTAAATGTGAACCTGGCAAAATTTCAAGTTTCTGGAAAAACAACTCCAGACGCTGACAAAGCTGCACGTTTCAGCAGATAGAATTTCTCGATGGTGGATTTTGAATGTCACCATCAAGGTGAGGGAATTTAACACCGGTTTCTTCTGCTGCGAGCAACGAGGAAAAATAAGATGATCATTTAAAAGTTGATTAGCATATTCTTCGGCATTTTTTTCCACCGAGGCCCATCAGAAGCGCTCTAAAATGATGTCTTGTCAGAGTTTCTCTTCAATCTTATAATTTGATTATCGTACGGGATTTGTCATAAACATAAAAAAAGAAAAAGAAGTGTCTCCTATTCTATGCAAGACAGCGAAGACAGCCCATTTATCTATCAGAAAGCTACCTTTAATTGATGATTCTGAGAATCTTTTGCACCTGATTAAAATTTCAAAAGCAATTTGCGCAAGACGCAAATTCAATGACGCACTCAATTCCATAGATTTTGAGAATATTGCCACATTTTGATCGCCCAGTTGAGTTAATATTGAAGAAAGAGCGTGTCAAATTAGGTGGCTGAAAATTCATCCCACTCAGTTCAAGGTTTCCATCATTCAGGCAACACAGTTTTTTTTCTATTCCACGCGGCAATTAAAACCATTCACTGGGTGATGTGTATGGAATTAAATAAATTCTAGCCAACACTTTTTAGCACGCTCCCAAAATATTTTGCAGCTTAATCGAGGGACTTCATTTGAAAAGGCAGATGTGTGTTTTGTGGTTTTCATGCTATATGGGCAAAACATTAGATAAGCCGTTGATAAGCGTGTCGCTGCTATCGGAGCACACAGAGGCTCTACATAGAGCAGTATTTGTAGAGTAACTGGGGTGAGACGTTATAAGCGAAGATGAACTCTGCGGTCGAATCTCGAGCTTTCCGCGGAGGCGATATCCTTAAGAAATTCAACTATTCGCGCAACTTTTCCTTCCATCACCTCCACTGATCTCGATGGGAAAACATTATGCTTTATCATCCACTATGTTTAATTGTCGGCGATAGAGTGGCCAAAAAGCAGGAAGAGGTTTGTAGTGGACGGAAATATGAGTAACCAGGCCTAAGGCTGGTAATGTCAATTTCGGCAGATGATATCACGCTTTTAATTAACCCTCGATGCTATTCATGGTCATACTGACCTGAATTTTAATCATTTTGCTACTCTTATATGTCAATAAAACACATCGAGATATGCCAGCAAGGAAATTATGCTGTTTTTTACGATCAGCATTGTACTTGAAAGTCTGATTTTGCTTTATTTCTACTAATGGTAACATTTTCAGCTTCAACTTCTTGAAAAATCATCTGAAAATTATTAAATTTAGAGGAAAAGTTGCGTCCTTCTTTGCAGCCATAATAATTACAATTTACTTCGATGTTTGCACACGACAGCAAGTGTCATTTCGCGGAGGGTGACCATGTCTTCAAAGTGAATTTATAAAATGACGAATAAACAAGGGAAATCACACGTAAAATTTCACAGTAATAACAAATTAAAAATGTCTCTTTGTTTACTCAATGTGCACGTTTTTATCAACATCAGTCCCGCATTAAATTAGCCAGAAAAACAGCGTCAGACGTGAGGGTTAATATACTAAAAAATAATGCTCGTATTTTCAAGTGTATCTAACATCAGCGGAAGTGAGTCTCTGTTGTCTTAAGGAATTAATTATGACTAAACACAGTAAAGATAGCAATAAGAAGTGTATTTTTCTCTGTGTCTATAAGAAAGTGGTAGAAAATTTATTGAGCAATTGTTTCACTGGTGGAAAATTACCGAAAAGACGCTATTTTGCTGATTTGTGCTTCTTTTGCTGAGCCTATTGAACAAGTGTAAATATTCGGGTCAGAGAGAAGACAGAGAAATGCGTCATGAAATGCGAGACACTTTCGATGAAGTACAAGAAAGTTCTAAGAGGGCAGAAATCGCTGCCAAGTCGAGGAAGATCGATGAGGTCAACAGGTGCCTGACTTTCTCTGCTGCAACGTCTCAAAAGTGCACACAGAGTGTGCTCGAAAGAAGCCAGTAATTTTCAGGGAGATAAACTCCAACAAAGCACTTCTCAATGGTTTGACATTCATTCTGGGGAAGCATTTGAGATAAAGCACTGCTTATTTGTCCAGCGTTATCGTTTGCTTATCACAATTCTTGCATAAGCAGTTTCACTATGTCTCTACATTTCAATAAAATAAAAAGAATAGAAAAGAAATGCTGGAAAAGTGCCTTACTTGCTGCTTGTTTGGCGCGAAAGGCCGCTCATCGCGGGGGTTGCACAGGGTGGCGCGGGCGATGAGCAGAACTGGAGCACAAGTCTGAGTGAGACGGAGAATGTGGCCTACTTTTCCGTATCCTCTCTCTCTTGCGCTTGCACACAGTCAAACTCACGGGAAAGGACACAAAATGTGCCGCCTTGGAAGCATTCAATGTATCAGAATGTTGCACCAATAATCAATAAGAGTGACTCAGACTTTTCCCCACAGTTGGCATGCACTTTTCCACCGCAAAATGCATTTCACCGCATGAAAGTACAATTAGATGTTTTCAGATGGAGTTTCTCAGTTCATCGGAGCAATGGTGAGTGCACAGAAATCGATTCCCACAGTGACACACTGATTTTCACACACAATGTCACACTCTGAGGCAATCGGAATGATGCACGAGAGCTCGAGCTGTCCGGATAAGGCGCAATTGGAGTGCAGGAGAGCACACAAGCGCAAGATTAGCTCTCGAGCGAGGAAATCCGCGGGGCGAGTCGCATGCACGGCAAGTCGGGGTGGGTGGAGGTGCCACTCTGTCCACCCGTGACAGTTGCGACTGTGGCAAATCCGGGACTTGGTGCGTGCGTGATGGAATTCCAGCCACTCTGTGTGCTTCTTTGTCTCTTTCCGTTTCACTGGACAGCGTTTTCGCACTCAACCCTCCCGCATCACTGTCACACGGCCACCCCTTTTGCGAGGCGTGCCACTGAATCGGGCAGATAGTCTGGTGTGGTCCTCGGCCGGAATGATTAGGAGACACCCGTGTGTCAATTGCTATTTTCCGCCAGAGCTTTCCTTCGTGTTCTTTCACAGGAAAAGGCACAACACACGAAAAACAGTGTACACAAAACACAGCTGGGTGTGAGGGAGAAACAAAGTCGGGTCTCCGGATGGAAAAACAGCTACTTGAGCGCCGAAGCTCAGGCACGGACTAAAAAGAGACGCACATCGGAGGCGCACAAGAGTCTTTCGCTCCGTGTTTTGCCTCTTTGGTGGGAAAACGCTCTCGCTCTCGCACACACACTCGCTGTTACGTCAAAGACAGCTGAGTCGCCACTTTGCCGGCTACTCACGAGCCACCCAGGCCCACCCCCACCATGCGACCTCTCGATCTTGCCGCTGCTCGCCACTGAGTCAGAGAGAGAGGAACGGAGGGTCAGAGGAGAGGCGCCGAAGCACGCGTTTGCATCAGTTTTTCCTCTCACTCACACACAGCCTTGCTCAAATCCGCGAAAGGGGTTCTCAGAGCGGAGGCAAATGGTTTCGGTCTTCAAACAATTCTGTTTCAATGCCGCGTGCAGTGTGCATTCTTATTATTTGTAGAGAATTTGTCACATAGCACTCTCATAGCTTTGACATGCCTTACTTGCGTATAATGGGTGACAAATTGACAAATATTTTTTGCGATATCGTGAATCATTGACGATGCCAACACAGTGAATTTTATCACCTTCGAAGAAATCAATTGTTCAGCTTGATCATGAAATTCCTGAAATTCTTAGAGTCGAAAGGGTTGAAAGGAAGCTTCTCAAGGTACCATGTACATACAAAGTATCTAAAGCCAACAATGATTACCCTTCTGCAGTCTGCTCTGGCAGAAAGAGAGCGTCAATTGATTTACACAGTGCGCCTGAGAGAGATAAATGACCGCACTTCCATGCCACCCTGTATTCTATCCACCAACACAGCCTCACTCCACCGACGCCCGCTTAGCAGATTCGCGAGTTCAAATCCAGGTCACAGCACTTAATTATTGCACTTTTTTGTACAAATAAATCGATCAAGGGTGTTTCATTCAATTCATTCTTCGTCATCCCTTGCCAAACAATCTACCCCAAGTGCAAGCGACAAGGCAAATCTGCTGGCGTCCGAGGCAAATCGTTTAGTTAGCAGCGGGTGACTTTTACCACCGAGGCCAGTAAAAAAAATCATGCCTCCGCCTCATGGGTGGCATTCAATATTGTGCAATGTTGTCGCACAAATCAGTAATTTTGTCCACCACCCGCGATGGGCACTCACTGAGCGCAAAGAGCTATCAATGTGCACGCAGATGCGGAACAGCGCTCGGGGGAGGATCCACTTAATTGACCTCTGGGAGTCAGTTGCATGGAAAGGAGTCACGCGGAAGATTGAAGACGGCCAAGCGTGAATGAGTGGAGGAAAGTTATGTTTAGCGCGTGAAATGAGTTTTTCCACGCAGCCGCTATACTTCTCTAGAGTTGTCTCGAGTGGCGGGAGAAGTTCAGGTAGCAACTGACACGCAGCAGGGCTGTGACAACTCATTCAAGCACGTTCTGCGGGGTGACTCACGAGTCCACTGTGACTCTCTCGAGCCCTGTGGCAGGTCCCCGGGCACGCGGTAGAAAGTACCTCAGCCTGACGGCTTTCCAAGACGCTGGGACATGCGTGCCACATTGCGAGAGGCTTCGGCCGATCAAGGCGCGCTCGTCCATCGCCTAGAGGCCAGAGCAAAGGGAATGAACGTGGCCAGAAGCGCAAGAAGCTCAACGTCTGTCTTCGGGACGTGTTGGAAGAACTTGCGGCTGTTTGGCAACAAAACGGGGCCCATTCTGAGTGAGTTGTTCTTCCACTTATTTTGCATTCATTTTGCACCATTATCTCTTCATTAAACTAATTACACAAGAGTGGGTGGATTCGTCGCAAGAAGGCATTGCGGATTTTTGCTGATTTGCGAAAAAGGAAATGATTGTAAATTGGTTTGAAGAGACATTTGAGATGGATTTGCGCGGTGTGGGTTTGCATCAATAAATCAGCCCCTCTTTAAACCTCCCCCGCCATTTCTGCTACAATTTTTCTTTCCATGTAATTTAATCTTGAACCCCACTCTGTGTAATTAACGTTCAACGAGATCATCATCGAGGCGCTGTTATTGCCCGGGCGTTTTTGGATGCCACAAAGAAAGCCCCAAGAGCTCACGTTATGCGATACTTTTTCTATTAATTGAGGTATACATAGTAAAACTGCGTGGGACTTGATTTTATGTCCTCCTCCTTTGCCACCTTTTCCCACACAACATTTACGCGACTGGGAAGTTTTTCTCTAGGCCAAAAAGGTTGAGACTCTCTAAGCAATATTCTTCACTTTTGTCACCCGCTCTGGTGCGTCTCGCGCAAACTTTCCCCCCATTTTCACCCTATTAAATTGATCACTTTGAAGAGATTATCGTGGGAAAGGAGCAAAAGTGAGGGAACACTTGATGGATGGTCGGCTTTTCCTTTGAAACTTTCCACTTGGGTGGGGAAAATGGCCAAGACTTTTGGCTAAACTCAGCAAATCCCACATAAGTAATTTATTGTATCATCTTCCTGCCACCTCCCGAAATCTGTTGCTCTAATCCCCATTCGTGTTATTTTTCCCCTGGGTGAGGGGCCGGAAGTCGGAAAAAGCCTCGCTGGACACCTCCGTGCCAAGGAGACGCTTCTCTTTGGCACTCTGCCGCCACTTCGCTTCTTTATTAACCTCATGTGCTGTTTTAATAAGAAGCCACCAAGGAGACTCTTTCGCCGAGTTGATAGCCCTCATCAACGGCGCATTTCCTATAATGCCCCGCTTGAACAATGCGGCGATTGGGGGAAAACGAGGAAAAGGATTTTCCGTTTGCCATACAGTGAAAGAAGCGACAAAAGTGGAGAGCATAATAACTACTTTAGCAATAAACTTAATTAAAATCACCCTATGTATGGGACTGCTGGGGGCGAAAATCTCGTTTCCATTTCCACAATTTATTAGCCACAATGTAATTGTACGAGGGCACAATTTTCATTGACAATAAATCATTTCTCACTATCAGTCGCGTCGATCAGCGAGCGGCATATGCTTCGTGGAGAGGCGAAACTGAATTCTAGCGCCTGAATGTGTGCTGTTTGCGGTCGAAAAATGGAGGGAAAATGCCGCCATACCCAAAGCGCCACTTTCCCACTTCGGACTGCAAATGCCAGAGAAGTATAAGGATAAAATGCAATTTCCACTCCTGAAGATAATGCATGTCAATTGCCACATAAATTGAAATTATTCAGTCATGAAAACGTCCATTGGAAGCCGTGCTGCTAAAGATAGGCCAGAATGCCCCTGCGTTTGCATGGCGACGAAGTGTCCGATGAATGGGTGAATGGCATGGAAATCCAGGTGCCACTAGCACGATAGGTGCAGCAGACAGTCGAATGTCCTCTGGGCAAAGTAGGCAAGTTTTCCGCACAAATTGTCACCCTGATGAGAGTAAGGAGAGCATGGAAATTGAATTGAGTCATTAGTTTTTATTATAATATTTTTTTTCATGGAATATTGGAGGGAAAAAATTACACCCACTCATTGAATCGCTAATTAGCAACGAACGTGGGGCACATTTGAAATTAGAAAAATGAAAAGGGAATAAGAGTGATTCACAGTAATTGAAATATTTTTAATGGAATTAAGTTCTGGAAGTTAATTGATTTTGACTTTCACAAAGACTTTTTCAGTGATAAAAGTATTCATTGAGAACATTATACTTTCCGTATGTGAATTTGTATATTTTTCAGCTCATTTCTGGTGAAGTGATCTTCTTTGAACTCTGGTGATAAAGCATGCACGCTAAAAAATGAGAAATTAATCTGTAATTATTCTCAAAAAATTCCAGTCAAATTTGCCATGTGAGAAATTCCCCTTCTTTCAGTTCAAGTCATTATATTTTTTATTTAGAAACTCAATTTACATAATATGTAAAGAATTAACAGTGTAATCTGTTATCTGTAAATGTGCTTTTGAAATATTTTAATACATTTTGATTAAATGTGTTGCGCTTTTGGTCAGTCGTAGTAGAGATTTTCAATCATGAAGACTGCTTTCGTGCTGCAATTCCTTTTTCTCATTACTGTGTCATACTCACAGGTGATAAATTTCTGGTGTAGTGGGCAAATTGAGGGTTTCTAGAGTGTATTATTTTGCAGAAATTGCAATTAAGCGTCTACTATGAGGCTCTGTGCATCGACACTGTGAACTTCTTCAGAGACCAGCTGATGCCGACGTACAATGAATATTCGGACAGAATGGATTTGAAATTGATTCCCTATGGCAAAGCCGGTGTAAGTATTTGATGTGGAAATGATGCATTCTGCATAGAATAGGTCTCAATCAGTCCTTTAACAGCACTACTGGAACCAAGCGACCAGCAAGTATGAGTTCTGGTGCCAACACGGAGCTCAGGAGTGTCACTTAAACAAAATCCATGCCTGTGGTCTGTACATCTTGCCATTCAATTCAGCCATCAATTTCACCTCCTGTTTGTTGCAATACCGACGGACGGCGAGGCATCACTGTCAACCGATTCTGGGCAATAAAATTCGGAAGATGAATAGATGCATGGCAACACATGCAGATGAACTCTTGGCTAAGCATGGAAATGCAACAGCAGAAATCGGTCTGAGTTTTGTGCCGACAATTGTCCCCGAAAATGTGGGTATTTTCAGGAGTTTCTCGCTACAACACTGATTTACTGAACGGATTATTTCAGGATTCCTGCTATGCAAGACGAGACAGCTTATACAGAAACTTCAGGCAAGCTTTTCGCGATGAATATGCTGCAAAATATCAAACATATCCGGATGACACAATCCCTGACAGAGAGCAAAAGAAGAATATCGATAATTTGTGCGGACCAGAATTTCCACTTTGGATGTTTGCAAATAGGAAATGACAGCAAAAGTAAACAAGTGATTATATTATCAATTGCTCAATTGTAAGCAAAATACTACTCTTTGTGCTTTTCCCCTCCTAATGACACAGAGTAATATTCACTTCGAATAGCGAATGAGGATATTTATCTCATTCGTGGGAGATTTATTTCTCTAAGGGCACTTCTTCACTCTGAAATGCATTCACGAATACGAAATCTAATGTCTACATTATGCATTTGCCATGCAAGGCGAAGCACTGAGCTTCACGGAGTCTTGCACTTAAACTTTGGCATTGGGAAAATTTTTAAATTTATTTGAAATGTCTTTAACATAGAATAAATTTGCCGCCTAGCCTTGGTCCCATTCGATGGTATCCTCGAAGGCTGGACTTGAGTGGAGAGCTGAAAAATTCTCGGCTGTGTCTGGAAAATCCAATAAAATGCACGGAACAAGGTAGTTGGAATGCAGGAAAGGTGAGGCGAAAGGTGATAGGAAAAGGCAAATATCGTGTTTGAGTGTTTAGCACGTGTGAGAAAACACGAAATGAGGATGGAAAATGGCACAATACCGAAATGCTGTGAAATATTTCCGCTGTCCGGAGGAAAATACCTTGGCGGAAATGAAAACATGTTTCTTCAGTGGTAAAATAATTCCACCGATTTACTTTTCCTCCATTCTCTCACGAGCACAGTTGGGCGGCGGGTGAGCTCATATGAAATTCTTGGTGTATGGGATGATAATTGTGTAAATTGAGAAGTTTTGTGTGGCAATTTCTAGACTTCTCTCACTGAAAATCTCATTATCTCTCGAGTGCTCGGTCGATTTCCTCTCCAATCGATTGTAAATCGATAAGGGATTTCCCCTCGGGCAGAGGATTCGGAAGTGCCCACCCCCAGAGGAAAATCCCCTTATTCTATCTTAGCAACAATTGGTAGTTGAATCACGTTTCAGGCGGTGCTGCATGAATTTTGCTGCACTCTATATGGCGTCTTCGGCACGACTAGCGGAGAAATAGTTTTATAATTCCTCAGAATTAACATTTTCTCCCCTGTGCGAACGTGCAAGTTTCTTTTATTAGGCACTGCATCACAGTAAAAAGCATTTACACGGATTTTCATCTTGGCGGAAATGAGAACAAATCGACCTCTTAGTCTCTCGCTATGCAAAAGCGCAGCATTGAAAGCATCTGCTTAGGAATGGATGCCATAGAATCTGTTTCTTGGTGACAAATTTCCGGAGTTAGTGTGCATAAACACAGACAGAAGCGCTGTTTTCAAGCTGAGACTGCAATAATAATATTAAAGAATGTTCTTCTGCAGGCTGCTTTTCTTCCATTTCTGCGCAATTGCTAATATTTCAGGTTAAACACGGTGAATTTTCTAAATTGTCTGCACCAATGAATGTAGCTTAACTACAGAGGTGAGACGCATAATGGAAAAATTAGTGAACTTTGAGTCTCTCGAAACAATAACGAGGTCGGGCAAAGGGCCTGACGTGGCAAAATGAGTGCGAAGAGTGAGAAAATTTTGAATTGTTGTAATTTATTTCACTTGTTTTCCGACCCACACCCGCGCCCAATGAAGAGTTGAGGGCGAATCTCATTTAAATTTCCTCAGGATTTGTCTCTGGCGGAAGCACGAGGGCGAAGGCCACAAATTGGGTGGGACGAAAAATGAATTTCTTCGTGTCTCCATTCGCGAATTTGCTAGGCTGGGCAAAAAACTTTCCCGATAAATCAAAAAGTTCTCAACCTCTGTGTCTGGCTGACTCCATTTCTGCTTCACGATAGATAACACCCTCGGCAGAGAGAGTTGCAAGCGATAATTGGTTGGCGATTATCGAGACTTTGGGAGCACCATGGCATTATAAGTTTATTAGACTTTCCATATGGTCGAGGGGTGAGTGTGGCAGCACAAAATTCACCCCCGAGATTCTCGATAGATTGGCGGTATTTGCCAGATTTTCACTTGGGAGCCGAATGAGGGGATGGGGAATATGGTAAAGTGACACGATTACAGTGCATGAATATCTTCTAGCTCAGGTAATTTAGATGTTCCAAGGTGACAACTCAATTACCATCAGTGAAAAATGATCCTCTAATCTCATGGATTTCCTATTGTCTTCCTAAAAATGAGGAGAGGAGCATGAGAAGAGGCCTCGAATGACTTTAATCCTGTTTACTCAGTGTAAGGAAATTGAAGACATGCTGTAAATTCCCACCCAAAACCCGCACTGCCATTTTCCCGAAATCTCTTTAATAAATTAAATTAAATATTTGACTGAAAAGCTCATAAGCTTTCACAAAGAAACTCATTTGAAATAAAAGAAGGAAACTCTTCCACCTGAGAGGTAAATTGGAAGTAAAGAAGGTGAGTCTGGGGGATAAGGAAGAAGCCCTCTCTTGCCGGAAAATGGAAGACTCCTCTTGCTGGGTGGAAATGCAGCGTAGATGAGGCGATATGAAGTTGAAGAACCCATCATTTTGCGTCAGAATAATTTAATGGAAAATGGAGGGGAAATTAATTTACTGGTAAGCGGTTTTTTATTGGATTTCAACTTCAACAAAGTGAATAGCATCATTTAATATTCCTTTCTTAATTACATCAACTCGATCCCATCGCGACTGCTGGTCGCAACGATGTAAGCAAGAGAATACGCAGAAGATGGGAACGAAGACGAATGGTTGGGGAGAATTTATCACTTTGTGCTATGATTCCTTATTATCTATTTCTCTACTACGCGATAAAATATAGTGTTTATGGAGTTTATCTTTTATTTGCATTGATTTCGTTTTGCGATTTTAACATGATATTTTTGTTTGGTTTCTTCAGAATAAATTTCATCTATTTCTTTCTAATACATTGATAGATTTTGGGCTTTTAATTAAGACATATTCTGCCAAGTATTCTGCATTTGCTTGTGGTGTAAAAATATTGAATATGAAAAATCCAAAGTCAGTGCTCGGGTAATATCTTAATGTGTATTGATGGCATTTTCGCAGAAATGAAAATTCCCTGGAAAATTCACTTCTTCTCTGCTATCTGTTTACCCTTGCCGTTTAAGCTTGTATTTCAGTGTGGCTTCTTCGCGGAGACACACCGAAATAAATCTATCAAGATAGGATTCTGGCTGAATGAGGAATCGGCGGTTGGGTGGCGACAGTGGAAAGAGTCTGAAGCACTCAAAAGAGATACTGCGATGGAAAATCCGATTTCAACCAGTCAAATATGATTACAAAATTTCTGCCGGAAAATTATTCCCATGAGAATCCCGGAAAATGCTGTCTCTCTCTGTTGAATTCTTTCACCATTTGCCCTCGAGTATCAAATCAGAGTTGTGCTGAAAAACAATATTTCCATTTCTACCCACAATTTTGTGTATCTTTCGACATTCCGCCTGTGTACACCTGCCCGTTGGTGAGGATGGTGGATAAATGAGCGGAAGAGCATTGAAAATTCATGCTTTTTTCACCGAGTCATTTGCATATAATAATAGGGAGAGAATCTCCGACATCATCCATCTGACATGATTAAAAATTGCAATGGCAGATTCGCTGAAGCCGGTGACGCTCCACTACATGAATTATCGTGAAGATTTGGCAAGAGATCAAGATGAAAAATTACAGATTTTCCACATCTACGGCAACATTTCGCCCTCTCACCCGTCTTCCGCATGTGAAGAGCTTGACAAACATGTGAAATTGATGCGAATGCAAATAAACTTCATTTCGGCTTGGAAATTTAGCGGGAAAAGTGATTCCCATTTGGAGAATGGGTGCTACAGGAGCCACTCAAGGGTGTGAGCTGGGAAGGTGGCAGAAAATCAATATGGGGGAAAAGTGGTGGAAAAGAAGATTGAATACTTTCCCAAGAGTATCGTGCGGCGACAGTTCCACTGAGACCTACTCCAAAACTTTGCCAGGCAGAAACTTAAAAAGTTATTAAACAACGTATAACTGAATAAGGTCTTGGCGGTGGAGGAAGAAATTGTTTTCAATAATATTTATATTATCAGACATCCTCTCTCGTCCTCTCGAGTTGCCGGAAGTGGGTGTAAAAAGTGCAACCTCTCGTGGAGTTTGAGCATCTAGTCGTGGCGCTGACAACTTTAGCAGCCAGATATAAAGTTTTCACTTTGTTTTCACCCCTTCAATACTGGGCGCACAGAGAGAGTCAAGGAGGGATGATACAAAATATTGGGTGAATTGCACCATATCTCTATTTTAGGATGACTTTAATGGGGCACAGAGAAATTTTTCTTGAGGTGCTTCCTCTCGTCTGCGGGAGACTTTATGGGTTAACCTATAAAATTTCACTGAATACAAATACTCGTAATCTATTTGTGTTTGCAGTAAAAATAATGGAGAGCACAGAGAAAACTACCTCCTGGTTCCTTCCCACTATTCTTCCCACATGCTGCACCCTTTCTCTGTCTTTTCACCCCATTTTCCCAGTTGGAGGACTTTCTAGTGGAAACTCGTGTCTGTGTGTGCGAAGTAACTTCCGATTTCCTCCTTTTTCGGGTGAAAATTTATGGCCAATTCACGTGATGCTTCTTCCACTATATAATAGCTTCTCACCCTCGCGTCTTCTTCCGCTATAGAAACTTCCAGCCATATCCAAAAGTGGAGTGATAGAAAAGAGAACCTACGACTCATGAAACTGTAAAAGATCGTGGAATAGATTTCATACTGTTTCGATTTTCTCAAGTGTGAACTTTAACTGCATGTTCTTCATTGACACGTGCAAAAGGGATCTATAAATGCTTATATTCCGGCCTATGATCTGCACTGTGTGCCTAATTGATTGCTCTATATTAAAGCATTATCTCTATTAGCAATCTGCTCGATAATTCGGCAGAGTGAAAATCTTATCTAAAGGTGTTCCCTCACTTCTCATATCTCTTTGACTCACAACCCGATTGCGTTTCAACATATATCACACTTTGATCTGTTTGATTTATTGGAAAATTGACGGGTTTCAATTATGAGATAGTAAATTTCAAGTCACTTCTTTTCAACTTCTCAAGTGAAACACAAGTATATACTTTCCATGGCTGGGTTTAGCGCGAAACGAAATCAATACTTGGCGACATTTATTGGTAATACGCTTTCTGTGATCAGTTCTTGAGGCTTTTGTGACACTTCAATTCCGATTTCAGCTAACTTTCCCACGCTTTTCTTTGGGCTCTCAATCGGATGGGTTTCACCGTCAATACCGCAGCTGCTGTCGCCGGAAAGTCCTCTGCCGAGTGGCCCAATCAGTGTGGACGAGGCCTCGTGGGTCAGTTCCATACCGTACTTGTCCGGTGCCTTTGGAACGGTGATATTTGGGTGGCTTGTGGATCATCTCGGAAGGAAGTACAGTGTCTATATTGGCGCCGTCCCCAACATAATTGCGTGGCTGCTGATAGCGTTTGCCAACAATGTTATCTACTTGTATATCTCGAGAGTGTTTATTGGAATCGCAGCTGGGGCAGTGTTCGTTACTGTGCCGCTCTTCGTGGCGGAAATAGCCGAAAATTCGCAAGTATCTTCGCAGCGCATTTGAAATGTGTCATTTCGAATTTCTTTCGTTGCAGAATTCGCGGAATTCTGGGCAGCATCTTGGGCATCTTAGTGACCGTTGGGATTCTCATTGGCCAGGTGATCTGCACATACATGAAGTTCTTCATGGCACCCTATGTGATGCTCGGCATGTGTATCTTCTTCTTCGCCGTCTTCCCCGTCTTTCCCGACACACCACAGTATCTTCTGAGGCGCAACAGGAGTGTCGAGGCCGAAGATGCACTCAATTATTACCGTGGTGTCAATCAGGAGTCCGAGGGGGATTTACTGGCACAAGTCAATCAGGAAATGGAGCAACTGAGACAGGAGCAAGTTGCCTCGACCGCCACAACTTCCATCACCATGGCAGATTTCCGTGAGTCGATCCAATCCATTTCTCTCTCACACCCTCACCCAACGCCCCACGGGAGTTTCATCAGCCAGATGAACTCATTTCCTTACGCATATTTTAAGAGGATCTCACACGAAATGAATCACTCTTATTCCACTTCAATTCGATCCTCGGGCCGGTGAGGGTTGCGCAGAGAGAAATATAAATTGACCAATAACTTATTTATTTGCACACTGAGGGATTACATTTGCAGGCTCTCTGGCCACAAGAAAAGCCCTCGTCATTGCAACAATCCTCTTCATGGGGCGAAATATGTGCGGCCTGTTTCCACTCATCAATTTCACTGAGAGCATCTTTAGAGCCAGTGAAACAACACTGGATTACTCCGTATCCACCTTCATAGTCTCCACCCTGGCCATTCTCGCCTGCATTCTTTGCACCGTTCTGGTGGACCGAACTGGCCGCCGCCTGGTCCTAATTGCGTCCTGTGGTGGATCTGCACTTGGTCTCTTGGGATTAGGGGTGTTTTTCCTCGTGAAATCTGAGGGCGTCGACGTGAGCCTGATCGGATGGTTTCCCCTTGTAACCTTCTCCATCTTCGTCTTCCTGGCAAATTTCGGAGTCGTCACAGTGCCACATTTCGTCGGCGCTGAGATCCTCACCTTCAAGATACGCGGTATTGTGTTTAGCATAATGATGCTGGTGTCCTGGCCGCTGCTCTTCCTCCTGACGCACTTCTTCCTCATAGTGGCCGAGGAGTACGAGATGTACTACTTTGTGTTTGCATTCTTCGCCTGGTGCGTCTTCCAGACCATCTACACTATCTTCTGGGTGCCCGAGACGAAAGGCAGGAGTCTCGAGGAAATCAGCAGCCTCATGGTGAGGCACTCATGATGCGGGCGAAGATCCACCCGTCCAATAGTCGAGGGAACTGCACAGAAATGGAGAGTCTGAAAGGGAGATGAATAATTTATGAGTTTTCATGCATGGTGTTTTTCTCTGTTAAAAAATCCCCAAGTCTCCACTGGTGTGCTTTGTTATATTTTTTACTGGTGCATTATTTAAAATTGACTAAAAATTTATGATACCATCAAAGTTTTTAATGATTTTATCTCTTCCGCTCACGCCTCTTGCAACCTCGACAGCATACTCCTATAGATACATTTTTTGTGTTACCCGAGAGACACATAAAACATTGAAAGTCCTATATACACTTTACCATAGACTTTGTGTGCACTGATGTGGCGGAAGCCTGAAAAAGTGCAACTTTTAATTGACAAATATCCGTAGAAAATCCAGTGAAACTTTTGCAATTGACCGGGGAATGCTTTTTGATGCCTGATAGCTTAATCGATTTGATTAGGGAGAATCAAATTAACGGCAAACCAAATGTGTTTGCTTTACAATTAGAATTGCAAATGTAATAAAATGAAAGAGTTTCTCATTTTCAAGCACTCTTAGTGGAAGAGGGTCTGTTTTTTTATCGTCATTCCATCATTTGCACACCAAATTTGTGGTTGTCTAACCGATATCAACTGTCCGCTGAGGCTTTCGCCTTGAGCCATTTGCAACTGCTTGAGTGACACATTCTGCGATGATTCGATTGATTTCTTTCTTCGCTCAGGCAAAAGATGCAAATTTTTCATTTGCATATCGGAGATTTTAAGCAAATTTTATCGTATTTCCCCGATTAATTCCAGCCGAATTGTGCCGCCCCATGCATGCAGCTTCGGGGAAAAATCCTTTCCAACTCGCTTGACTTTCTTCCACGTCACTGCAACCCCGAGGGATTGTTGGGACTTGTGTTGAACTATTGGCGAAAGGAGTTTTCAGCAGCCTTCATGCTGGGTAAAAGTGTCTCTCAAGGATCCAACCCTTGGGAGACACGATGCGTACATTCACTCTGCCAGGCTGTGAAAATCGTTACGAAATTTTCAAATCACCCCCTCACTGACAGACTCCAACACTTTACCCGAGAAGTTTTCTCGGGATTTGCAGCATCTCAATCTCAGAGACAGATAACTTCTTCCCCAAAAGCACTTTTACCACTTGAATAAACTCCTCAATAGATCTTCGCTCTCCAGAGAGATTTCCGACAGTTTATTAGGAAAATTATGATTTTCTCGTGTATATTCGCAAGCAAATGTTGAGAAAAATGAGAAAAATCATATCCCAGTAATTCTTTCATGGAAGTGTAATATAATTCACAGCATGATTGTTGGGAAAATTAGCAGGAGGTGTTGTGAATTCTTCTTCGAAAGAGTATGACTTGAAGTATGATTTTCCTTTGGGGAGGAAAAAGAAGGGGTGAATAGCACACATTTCACAAACATTTGGATAAGTATCTTACCTTGAATTTCATACATTTTAGAGAATGTAACGATCTAATCCGGGAAAATCCTCTCGACACACGCAGTAATTGAGTTTGTTCTCAAGAATATTACAAACACTCTGGAGACAGAATCAAATTTGCATTTTGAGATTGCGCCTTTACTCTCAGCTTGCAAATTTATTAGACTCCGTCAAGTAAAAATGAGTTGTGCATAAGGATGGCTGCTTCGTGTACCTGAAGTTCCAGTCAACAATTTATCACACTTGTGTGATTTGAGAAATATTGGCGAAGCCGTCACAATTTATTGACCCCCTGAGAGTATGGCCGTCTGAAATCTCTGTATGTTTTTCCTCATGCTTTATTTCGCTATTTATGAATTCATCCCTCAGCTCCTCCCTGTCGTCCCAGCGCAGCCCCCTCGACGGGTGGTATTTTGAATTATGTCCCCCACGCTCCGCTGTCCTGTGCGAGCAAATTCCGTTGTCGCTGCGAATGGGCCCCCGAGGAGATGAGCCCAAAGATGATGCGAGGCACATCGGGAGATTCCAGCTGAGAGTTGTGCCTCGGCATTATGTAAATTCCGGATGTAATCAAAATGTGACGCTCAGTGTCTGTCGCGCGCCGAGACGGAGAGCCTCCGAATGCACAAGCCTTAATGTGGAATGTTGCAAACTGACAAGTTATCATGATGATATATGTCACCTTAAGGTGAAATCTGTATACGAGGAATTCATGATATTGCACTGCAGCCCCACTGCGAGGGGTGACTCTTTGTTGACAATGAGACTACATTATCACATGGTGATGAATCTCTGCGCATTGCCGCTCAGCATTGTTCGTTGTGTTGTACCGCTGGTGCCCATGTACGGCTGTAGGCAGCGCTGGGAGAGGTAAAAGCATAATCATTAATGCAAAATGGGGAGCATCTTTATGATCATCCAGCTTGTCCCACGATGACTTATGAGAGTGGAGGGAAAGCCACTCTCTGAAGGGCTTGAGCTAATGAAAAGCCCAACACAGCACAGGAATTCAACAATATTTATTCATTTTAATTATCCGTAAATATCTTCAGTTTTTTCACCATGACTTGTTTAGGGATTTGTAGACTTTGGGAGAGAATTTGCCTGTGTGAGAAAACACACCGAAAATTTGGGCTAATTCCACAACGAATTCATGACTTTACCATTCTTCCCTTGCATCTTCCACCCAGTGATTAAATACATGAGCAGGTGCCTCGGGCGCATTTCAATTTGCACACATAAATATTCCAAAGAGCAGCATGGCAAGTGAGTGACAAAAAGTTCACGGAAGAACGTCATGGAGAATGAAAGTTTGATGGCGGTGCCTGGGCTGATGAGCGTCCCAGCGCATGGCAAATGCTCGCAAACAGCACTGGATTCACCCCAAAAATGTTATTTATAGGGTTAAATATGCAGACTTGTTTGTATTTTCGACACACACGGGCGCTACCCCCAAATGCAAAAGACAAATAAAGTGATTTTGTCGATTTGATACAAATAACGCACAGCAGGAAACCACACCGAGAGTTCCCAGATGTGCGAACTTCCGCTTTTTCGGCAAGAGACTGTTTAAAGGTGAAACAATGCGGCGACAATTTATGGAACTACGGGCAGGAAGGACAATTGTTAGTGTTGATCAAATAGGAAAGTTGCTCTCTTGTTTATTTATGGACTAAAGTTTCTCATATGTTTTTCCTCAACTCCATTTCACTCACGTACGCATTTTCACTGGTGGCGAGTGTCGAGCAACTATTCTGGTGCTGGCGCGAAGTCTAAGTAGGGGTAATTAGAGAAATTTCATAATTTATTATCTATTTCATACAATAATATTTTACACGAGGGCTCTTCTCCATCTGGGCTGCAACATATGTAATGCTCTCAAGTCGGATGTTACAGCAGCGCTCTGCCGGAATGGCTGTAGATGGCGAATGTCTGGTGAATGAGAATTAATCCGAGAATTGTGATGCTCGCCACATGAGTATTTGAAGCACTTCGGACTGGAATGGGCCGACAGAAAGAGATCAGCGTTAACAGAGTTGAGACCATAATTAAATTCCATTTTGTAAGCATCTATAATGGCAATTCTCCCCAAAGGAAGCGATTTAACTTCCGTTCTAAACATCTCTTCTTTCTGGGAAGTTAGAAGTGATCGAAAGCCACCCCTGCCCTATGTCTCTAATCTTCAATCAATATGCTTGTCAACTCTATTAGTAACAGTGTATCGATTTGTTTTTGGCACACCGGGCGAACAGCATTTTTTATGAGACTTCTTCCCCCTCAAAGGAGGGACAAATTGATGGACGTGGAGTGACTCACCGAGAAAGAGGGCCTCCCTGTTCTCAATAAGTGGTTGCCAGCGCTGCACGACGCTCTGGAGATCCATGTCAGTGTCCAGGGTTGTGTGAGGGAGGATGTTGGCGACACATCGCAGCACCAGGGCACTGGAATGCCGGAAGTGGCGTCCCTCGAGCTGCAAATTGAGCCCCAGGCGGCTTGTGATGAGACCATGAACGTGATGTTGCGGTGGATAATGAATCAATGACTCGGGGTTGACCACCTGGGGATGAGTGAGAGAGAGATGCGCTGTTAGATTGAAAATAAATTTCAAATGAGTCCCCTGGCACTTCTTCCACATATTAGTTGTCAATGGGGAAAGACTTCACACGAGCGAAGCTATATTGCGAATGATACTGGATGAGGAATACTTTGTGTGCTTGTTTCTGAAATATTGAGCACTTTGTGTGTATGGAAATTTTCTTCGCTGTATTGGAAAAATAAGCTGTGACGGTAGAAAAAAACTGTTTCAATTTTCTCTTCCGCTCGATTAATCTCACGTTCAACTTCCGTGCAGATTAATTCGGGTGAAATATTGAGGCTTTCGACACTTGTTTTGTGACACTGCCAACAGTTGAAGCTCGCGTGGGGCTCCGTAATCGCAGTGAATAACTCAGCCTGGCGCGACAATGAAGATCATTTATCTTGGCAGATCCGAATCCCATTTGAATATTCCCCTCTTCGGGCATTTCTTCATGGGGAATAGGTGCAGTGGGGGGAAAAGCTCATGCAGAGCGGAAAAGTGTTAATTGAATGGGTGCTCTGGAGATATTGCAGTGGAAAATTCGTGCCAAATCCACCTCTGTGTGCGAAAACCCACACCTTCCCATCGTCAATCATCGCCCATGAGATTCTCTTGGGAGGGAAACAGAGAGTTTCTCGGACCACTTGCTGGCAGTGTTTGCAGGTGAAAATGCCAATGAACACTTCTGCAGCAGACGATCGCGTGCTCGTTTATCAATTCGCGTCATTTGAGTAATGTGACGTGACATCCAGGATTTACACAATATGCATGAATCCTGTGACTCGCATGAAAAACACTTTTCACTGTGTACTTCGCGAGATGGGAATAAAGAGTGTCGCACATCACCCATTAATCAGTTTCTACAACATCTTTTACTTGCGATTGGTTCACTTTTCTTCGTCAGCTTAGCGGAATCGGAGAGTGCAATTTAGATGAGCGGATGATACTTAAAATATGCCAAAAAAGAAAAATGCTCCGAAAGAGATTCATCCTTCTGTTATTTACTTGATTATTTTATTGCTCTTCTACACGCACTTCCGTGAGCTCTTCGTATAAACGGATTTGATAGGAATTTTCAGTCAAGAATGGTAATTTTCTCAAATAAACCACGTTTCCTTAAATACGCATCATCTTCAAATAATGAGCTTAGGATGCGGGAGAGGAAATACTCAATATTCACTGAGACTTCAAAGGAATTGACTTGTTGCAATGAGATAATCTTTAATACAACCTATAGTTTTGTAGGTTTTAGCTAGAGTTTTCAATTAGTGAATATATTCCCTTGTAAATTTGAGCGTTGAACTTTTAAATACCTTCTCGAGCTTTCGTGCGAACTCTATTATTTTCTTACTACTCATTTTGACAGAGCAAAAACTCCCTTAAGTCTGCTTTCGTGAGAAGGAATATTTCTGCAGGTGAAATTTTGCGCCATGAGAAATGTACTGGGAGGAAATGTGGCAGTTGCGAACAATAATTTCTTTCCACTAATGGAAATCTTGTCAGTGTCATTCAAGAAGAGGGAGCAGAAGGGAGAATGGTCAAGGTGAGAGACAGTGGGAAATCTCCGGAGGGGGAGCGATTCTGCTTGGCGTCTCTATCGCCCTCCCTGTGTTACCCAATTTGCCCGTTGATTTACGATCGAGGAAATAACTGTCGCATTTCCCGCACTAAACACACTGCCCCACTGACCACCCTTCTTCTGGGGCTCCCGCCCGGAGGGTCATGTGGAAGTGTCCCCATCGCGGGGATTTAATACGCCAACAGCATGCAATGGCACGGGGTTGCCAATAAATGGTGTGCAGAGGGGCTCGAAAAAGCGCGTGAGGGTTGGGCGAGTGGGGGCGATAACGCACAATTTGATATCACACAAAACACACAATAATGGATTCCCATTGAAGTGGGGCTTTGTGTCCTTCAGAGTCGTTTGAGATTATCCTCAAGATTAGAAATTGCCATTCGATTGTACTTTATCACTTGAAACATGTGAGAGAGACGCTTTGCCGAGGATGTAGGATTTCTAAGTATATATTTATGTATGTGCCTTCGAATGCTGGATGATACTGAACAATGGCTGGAAGTTGCTGATCCTGCGACACACAGTTGAGGACTTTCCAAAGGGTTCACAGTCAACGACTTCTGTATACACAAAATCAATAGGGCTCTGGCTTTATGTGAAAACATTTATAATTGCCTACACGAGGTGCTGTGAGGGTCTACTCACTATGCTACTGGATGGGGCGTGACAAGAAGGATGCTCTTTATAAATTTAACAACAAGAGTCAAAGAGGGTAATTTCATGGGTATATACATTTCACATTAAATATGAGTAGAATTTTCAATCGTTTCCACTATGCCGTATTTAGACAACATTTTCCGTGTCACGACAATGTTTATTGAGGACGAGTTTGATGAAATTTACCCAAAATTTCTCTCCGGCAAGTGCGATTGATGTGTGAAATTTCTCCACGCGTGTGAAACCTGACATTGGGTAGATTGTTTTATGAATGAGAGAGAAATGTCATGTTCTACATTCATCCCCAGTATTTTGGCCTCCGCAAACAGCGTTGAGTTTAATGTGATCAATTAAATTTACATATAATCTATTTAATGATTTTCGCATCTCTTTGTTATAAATTCCCTCGTCATCCCTTACAGGCACTCGCATTCAGGATGAACGACAGGAGAGTGCCTGAAATATTCATTTTCCGTCTCAATCGTTTGGCATTAAATATTCTCCGGAAACCATTTCAATTGAGATGGGCGGAAAATTAGATATCTCCTCAGCAGTTGGAATGTCAATCGATAGATGACAAAGTCTCATATAAATCAGTACTTAACTCACCACAAATTCTCATTCCGCCAGCAAAAAGGGAAATTCCCCTCCCCCACACACTTGGGGAATTCTCAAAAGAGGTCCCACACTGTTTGTGTGAAAAGCAAATAAATATGCAAATGACATTTTCGCGCCATTTTCTCTCATAACGTCACCAAACTCACGATTACATACGCTCGGCAATGGGGGGATGATTTCAAATTAGAAATTAGATTTTCTGCGGCAAAATCTCTGAGGAATTGCCTTCATTGTTCCGGTTTCTCGCGAAAGTGTGGGAAATCTTAGGAATATGGTCACAAGTGTCGACTTACCGGGTCGTCATTGATGTACCACTGAAGAACTGAGCCGGGATGCGATTTTCCCGAAGTGCAAGTGAAATTGAGGTACTCTCCAATCTCATACGGTCGATCCTCTCCGATTATGTGAGGTCCATCTCTCGGTAAGTCTGCACGAAAAGAAGACTAAATTAAATACAATTTGATTCCAAAAAAAATTACTTAAGAATTGAGGATGCGCAAACGCAAAATCTCCTCAAATGTCACATTAAATATTTTGCAGTAAATTAGATATTCCCCAATATCTTGTCAAGATTTTTGCTCCCACTAACATATGTATTGGGAAAGAAACTAGAAAGTTTTGGCAACAAATAAAATAGAAGAACTCCGTATTCGACAAAAAGTTTGTGCACAGAAGTCAAGACAACCTAATTATAGCTCTTGTATTACTTCCATGAAACGAATAAGTTTTAAATATGTACTCCCGCTCTCAGTTTCAAGTTATTTGAGGAAGTTTAGCAAAATAAATCTTCGGCAAAGCATTGATTTTTCGCTCAGCTTTGCACTCGAGTGTCTCTTGAACCCTGCGCTAAAAAATTAATAGAATGTCAATAGATGAATCGACCACTGGAGAAGGTGGCTGAAAATGAAATTCTGTAGACGAATAATTTACAGTAATTCCCAGACACGTCGCAATGAATTTAGAATAAGGGGGTGATTTTCACGTTAGAGGGTGCAAAAATTGATCAGGTGATATTGATCGAATTAGAGAGTGGTGATTTTCTCCCTATCACGTTATGCTGCAAGAGGTGCAATTAAGCAAATTGCAGTGTAGCAATTTATTTGAGCTGGGAAAGGGCACCGACTTCGCCTTTCCTCAGGGGTGGCCAGCGGAATGGGGTGGCTCGCACAAGATGGTGCACTAAATGCTATCTTCCGGCTTTCTGCACATTAGAAATTTGCACAATTGCATAAGTTTCAAAATTGCACGCATTGTGACGTCCTCAGTGCAGACTTCGGTGGCGGAAAATCGTGTGCCTCCACTTGGGCTGGCGTGGAAAACTTCACATTTTGCCCCAGGTTGAGAGGTGGGGGCCATGGATTTGATGGAAAAAATTACCGAGCGGGGAGCGTCAAAGTGAGGAGGAAAAGTTTGAAACATGCAGAACTGGAAAATGTCTCGCAAGTCAAGCAGGAAAGTTACCTCTTCATGAGTGCACCATAATCGAAATTAATAATTCATCTGCGTCGCTCTCCTCAAGTTTCCCAAAGGTGCAACTGAAAAATATTAAACTCCATTGTGTCGCGGCGCGATAATTTCACTTGAAACTTCTTCTCGCAGCCCAAGGGGTGGAAAATGCAAAAATAATTACTTCCTCCGTGGACAGATTTCCTCGTTCCACGTAATTCCCATCCATCCGCAAGAGTGCTTTTTTCGGCTTGAGAAAAAAAGAGGGTCTAAAAGTATGAATGAAAGATTTCCACCTCTGTCCCCCATTCGGGGCGTGCGAAATCCGAAGAAATTCCTTTGGTGCCGAGAGCACAGGGAGTGTCAAGGAATTTAATATAAAAATTCCCCCAGATTTTCAGCATCGGAAGATAGGAGAGAAGAAGAGCTCCTGAGACAAACAGAAGAATGCACCGAACAATTCCTGTAACACTTTCCCTCGCAGGATCTTGCGAGTTTCACAGTTGGCGCGGGCGAGGCATTTAAAAATAATTAAGGAATTCTGCAAAGTGCGACGGTGCAATTAAAAAACCACTTGTAGTTGCTCTCCTACACATCTCCGTTCACTCTTTGTCACATTCTAGACGGTGGAACAATCTCCTTGACAAATAAATCTCGCCATTGGAGTCACACAATCTCTCCCCGGTAATTGCCTCCGGAGCTTTGAGAGCACTTTTGTGTGCAGCAGTTTTTCTCGTCCTGCGACAAGGCGGGACATCATAAGAGCTCACCCCACATTCCGTGTCACCTCAGAGCAATTATTGAGATTTATCGAGGCAACTCTACACCAGCAAACATTTCGATTTACACAATTCTCAGTGGAGAATAAAATGCAGAACTAATAAAAAGCAACACAATAGATAACTTGTCTATAGAATCTCTAAATAAAAGGCACACGAAGTAATAGGCAATCCATCCATATCTTATTCTTAGTTTTCTGGCTATTAAAGTGTAATGAGCAAAAGAAATATTTCTCCTTACATCAACAGATGAGCTGAAAACAGTCACTCAAATTGCTTACAGGCTTAGCAGACCTTCAGCAATGCTTTATTTACGCTTGACTTGAATATTGTACGACAAATTGGCGTGATCCTAAAAGCTCCCCAACTTTCGGAGCGGCAACGCAAGCAACACAACAAATTTTTGGTCATGTGACAAAAATACAGGACGTCCGAATCATTTTGTCATTTTCACTCCCACAGCGTCAAGTGGCAGCCCGCAGGGCGGCACAGACAATGATGGAAAATTGCTAATACTACCACTCGGAGGACCGCTCATGGCAGTGGAAAAAATTGTGAAATGTTTATGCGAAAGAGAAATGTGAATTTGTATCCGGACTCTCATCAATCAAATTAAATACTTTTATTGTGGTCATTAAATTTTAATTCAATGTGTCACGCCATGGCCCAGTGTGAGAGAGCTTTGAAAAAAATATTAAATGAGTTTACAAATCCCGTCCGACACGAAATGGTGTAATTTTCTATTATTATATTCATCTATTGTGTGTGCGCGCCTTCTCGCATTCCGTGTGGATTTTCCTACCCACACTGCCAGATCATTTTTCACCATGAACGAATACTTACACACAATTTCCATGTATCCTTCCCCCTGAACGGATGAGAAGTTGGGCGCCTCGCCGCTCACCTCGCATCTATACAGCCCGGAAGATTTGATATTCACGTTGCGAAGCGAAACGCGGCTGCTGTTGGAGTGCTCATGCTGGCGGCGTGTTGATAAAAACGGTCATTAATTCTTATCTCTGTGGCATTGGATATTGTGTACACAAGTCCCGGGGAGGCGATAAGGGTGGCCAATCGGCCCGAAAGACAAACCCCCGAATTCTGGCACGTCTCCTGCCCACTGCCACCCATTCTGGCGGAACTCTTGCCTCACGAGATCAATTTTATTGTCATTTCAGACAGACATGAGCCACCTTCCACGCCCTTCTTATGTGCTTTGCTTTTTCATCAGGTTAACGTGGGGCGAAAGCTCTTCAAGCGACATTCTCTGACATCTCTGACTCAATTTCGATGGAATTCATTAGAGAGAAAATTATTAATTCATTACTAGTGTTATTGGGCGGAGTGATTCGATGTGAAAGCAATTATCAACAGATTAATTCAATCTTCTGGTTTCCATTCGGCGCGCTTTCATTCAATCTCTCGCGAAATTAATATCAATTTTTCAAAGTATTTTTAAATACGCTCTGTGAACTCCAACATTTAGCAAAAAATGCGAGTCGAGATTCATGATGGATTACAAAATGCCCTACAGTGAGAATTACAATCATCCTTTGTATGCAATTTTCCCTAATTACCCGAGTTCGTGGAATTGTAAAAGCGCTGAGTGAAGGAATGAGAATTATTCGTCATGCAAAGAGACATCAAGAAGTGTCTGAAATGCTTTTCTGCACTATATTTCCTTTCGCAAGTCAGCCGCGGAGGATAATTTGGAACACGAAAGTCAATCAAGAGCATTTCGCGCTCACACGAGAGTCAAAAAGCTCCCGCGAGCGGTGAATAAAAATCACTGCAGAGAGATCTTTATTGGACATTCATGCGAAACTGGGACGCGATTGACTCACTTACAGCGACTCTGATGCCATCGACTTTGTAACTATGCTGCGGAGGACTCGCCCGCGGGACAAATCGATAGAACTCCTCGTTGTCTTTGTACCATTTCACCGAGTACAGGCTCTCCCGACCTCCGTCGTCCGCCACCTCGTCGTCGTACTCGTGAAAGTGATGGCCCGGATGTCGTCTTGTCACCTCCTGTAGCTCAAATTGACACTCCAGCACCACATTCTCCCCGCGGAGCTTGTAGCTCGGGATTGTGACCTTCACCAACTTAAGGGAATCAATCACTGAAATAGAGACGTGTCAAACAAGAAAACCTGGAGAAACTGATGCAAGAGTAATGAAGAGCTGGATGACATGTGGTATTGTGTGCTCTTGTAGTGTCTTTTCGGAGGAAGGTAGCGAATTGTGGTCTTGTGAGGCAGAATACAAGATTGGCATAGAATTGGCACATTAAGAGACACACACGTGAACCGGAGTTTTGGGATTTACAAATGTCGTTCTTGTTATTTGAAAATATACAAAGCTTCCTGTTTAATTCTTGGCATCTAATCAAATTTATGGAGCGATTCCCAGTAAAACATAGAAATGTTAAACGTCGAACATGTAAAAGTTTAACAATTGAAATTGATAAGTAAATACACCCGATGATTGTAGCAGCTGAAACAGTCTAAGCGAATTTTAAGCAATTCCTCATTGTGTTAGAGAAGAATTATTAAAATTTAAAAGCATTTACTGCCATTATCCTTTATGTACATGCTTAAAAATTAAAGCCACAGTCATAAATTTATCCATTTTGCAAGTTATTCGGCGGCTTCCAATCTATCGCTCTGCTTCTTACACATTCATTAAAACCACCTCTAGAATCCGTATTAAAATTACACATTTATGCGGTACAAATTGGTTTAACGTGTGTTAATCAGAATAGAAAATAACAGAAAAGGTGGATTTTTTTTTACACAGTTGCCATTTAAAGCTTTACATGTGTGACTCAGAATAGCAAATGACTGTGTATAGCTAATATAAAACACTTTTAACATTCCTTGTTTGACTGGGAATTGCTCTGCCTCCACAAGAAAGTTGTGAAATGTGTGTGTTTTCCTTCATTTGATAAGCAACAATTTCACTTTCATGTGATCTAAATTAAGCATGTTCTTTTTATGACTCTCAATCAGCCGTCAGTTCAGCATGTCCATTGGGATGTGCAATTTAGTTAATTGCTATATTACGCTCATAAAGAGTGTAAAATAATTCAGATGCATATAACAGGGGTGCTTCTGCTAATTATTCCCGCAATGGAGCGAACTTCATCCCCATTGTACTGTTTATGCTGTCCGTGCAGAAAATTTATTAATTATTCATACTCCTCAGACAGATAACTACATAAGCTCCTCACTTGTCGACTTGTCGAGGAGAGTCTGTCGAAGGAGGGAAAGTAATCACAAGCGAAGCTTCAATTATTCGCAAAAGCACTCGAAGGGGGAATTTTTCAGGGCGCTGCATCGTAGGAGGCTAAATTGTGGTGACGGTTTGATCCTCCGGATATCGGGGGTGAAAATTTACGGAAGTTTTCAGTGGATACATTTCACGAGAGTGCGAAGCCCTGAGCGTGAATGAGGTCTGAATTGCGAGCAAAGTTGAGAGGAGCTGCATTACTTGCTAATGGGCTCTGTCGATGTGTATTTGGGACGTTGTGTCTCTAAATGTTGTAATCTAAGGATTTTATAGGATGTCGTTGTCAGAGCAATTTGCATATAGTATAGCGTCCTGCAGACGACCACCATCTGCTCCAGCTCTCATCCGCTCTCGCCCGCCCAGGGATGAATTCCTCATCCCTCCACGTCATCACTTTATCGCCGTCGTTATCGTAGACGAAACGTCGAGAGCGGGCACTCTAATTTGAGAGACTGAGAATTACAAGTGTGCGAAGATTATGCAAGGAGATTGCATCAATGGGTGGTTGGGTGGCTTTTTCAGTGAGCATTTGAAACAATTTGCTCCACATAGACTCGCCTTTGCAGGCAGGAAGTTCTGCATGCACCGATTTGCTAGCGTGATGGAATATTTCTTGGCGCTGGAACACGCCGAAAAACCCTCATTCCGTATTCTTCTGTCGCTCACGCTTTTCCTCGGGAGGAATGGCAAAAGTTCCTCCGTAGTGAGAGACAGTCTATAATTGATTTCCCACCGAAGAGGTTTCCGCGACCCAAAAGGAGAAAAACAGAGAGAATGCTAAGATGTCAGGATCAAAACAAAGTTTGATTAAATTTATATATATATATATATATATCATTCTGGTCCAGAATGACTAAAAGTAGAAATGACTTTATTGGGTTTCTGTTTTTTTCGAGCGGTGAATATTACACAAAAAAACGTACTCAATTCTCCGAGGAAGTATTAAAAGTTCGTGCATTTTGAAGTAGAATTTGATGAATATATCAATATCGCGAGTGTTTCTTGGATTTGGCGGCGGTGGTTTTGTAGTGATGTGAACATGAGGTGATGAAACTCTGTGAAAACTGTTTGTGTAAATATTTAATTACCTTGAAAATAGTATCCACAGAGACTGACAATGACAAAAATTAGATTCATTTTGACTCCAACTACACTGTTAATTTTTAATGTCACCGCCCACGTTCGCTGCGAGTGTGGGAAAAGGTTTCACTTTAGCTTTCCGGACTTATCACTCCTTCATGGCAGCTCGACAGCTCCCAAGGGATTTTTCACTGGCTAGTCCGTTGTGAATAATAAATTAATTTTTGCGTTAGAAATAATGTTTCGGAAAACTTCATAAAATATTTTCACTGTTGCCACTGTTCCGTCCCTTCGGTTTGCCAACTTCAAGATCATCTCTCGGAAAGTCCATCGTTGGCGACAAAGTCCCTCTTCTAAATACACAATTCAATTAGAAATTTTCTCCAGTTCCTGCTGGCGTTCGCTTTGTCGTCTTTTGATGATCCCAATGGCCGGGAGGGAAACCACACTCTCTCTCTCTCTCTCGCCGACCTAAATAAATATGACATTAGGCAATCTCATGAGACGATTTTCCACTCGAGGGGGTGTGGAAAATTGCCGCACGAGGGGTATTAATGGTGACCAAATGGGAATTAAAAGCTGAGTCGCGCGCTGAAAGAGAAAACAAAGTACCGAGGGTCTCCTCATTACTTTCCTTCCTTCCCCATCACCCAATTCATCCACCCTCTGGAGGCGCCCCTTTTTCACCGTCTCACCACTTCCCACGGTGCTTTTCCCCGCATTTGAGTGAGTGTCCTCCAATGGTAATTCAATTAATGTGAAAAGTTAATTTTTTTGCCTTCTTTCGCCTGGAGTTTTCTCCCCTCGCGCCCACGGTGAAAAGAGGAAACTTTCACGCTCCGCGAAAATTTGCTGCATGCTAAGAAGGGTGACGGAAAAATCTCCCCATTCGCATGCCAGAAGAACTGTGTAAATTTGCTGAGAGGCAAGGGACCTTGTGTTAATCATAGAAGAAGATTTTCACTTCACTAAATTCAAATTCAGTTTCGTCACTGGCTCAAAGTTGGGCAATGGAAACTTTCTGCGCCAGGAGTTCCAATTGCACTCAATAAGGGCGCCTGGTGGCAATATTTATTATGGCTCTGTGAGTGCCTAATTGATGAAAAATCACAGCACAAGGTGGTCCAACTCATTTAGAGAATGTTTGCAACTGAAACTTGTATTTATTCAGAGAATGCCGATGGAAGATGAAAGGAATGCTCTGCTTATTACTCGTCGGATTTGAAGTGTCTGTCAAGTGTGTACAGCAACAGTTTCTGTGGTCTTACTTGTTTTCTCCGTATGGGAGGAAAATCCATAGGATAGTTTCGGAGAGACTGGAAAAGTATACATGTGAACTTCCATGCAGAGTCCACAAAATGGACAAACTTTTAACACTGATTTAATGCCTTGCGGCATTTCTTCGCTTTTTTGGACAAACAGACACAACAGAGGAGTTGCTGTTGCAAGTGCAATACAAAGTTTTCCATTCTCTTCCGCCACAAGTGAGATTCGCATATACATACACACCCCTTTACCATTTTCAATCATGGGCAAATACCAGTGAAAGTTTATATTCCTTAAAATACCATTTCCAAACAAGCAAACTTGTTCGATCTTCATCGATGGGATTTTATATTGTGTGACTTTTTTTTCTATCCAGAGGGACTTTTAATAGACCAATGCTCATGGTTGAAAATGTGTCCATTTGATGGGGGAGGAAAAATGGTGGAAAGATTGTGTGAATGAGGAAAGTTCTCAGTGCAAATCTCTCTCTCTGACTTGAATCTATTTTGAAGGATCTTCTCAGGGCATCACTGAGACATTTCAGCGGGGAGAGAAATGACTTGAATGCTTTACTTTTCTATGTCATTTGAGTCAAACAAATTTCCTACGCCACAGTTGGGAAAAGTACATGATATGGGAAAGCATCTGGAGATAGAGAGAGAGATTGAGGGACTTGCGATGGAAGAGATTCTTTATGTTTGACACAATTGAGACTGGAGCTAAAAATACCCCCATTGAGGGATGAATCTGAGGGATTACTACACATGTGACACACTGGGCGATTTATTTGACGAGAGAGAAACTTTTGCTTCGTCTCCCCCAAAGTGTCCTTTTTCTATTTTCTCACCCGCCAGTCGACTCGTGCAATTCGCCCAGGGAAGAGTTTACAAATTTCCCCAGAATGATTCAATTTTTCCCTGCCAACATCCCTCACATTTCATCATTTCTTCACTCACGAAAAATCCCACTCGCCACAGACGAAGGGCAACAATGGCACGCAGAAGGGGGAGGAAAATGAAATCATTAAATTTTCATCACGACAATTTGCACATACACAGGGCTAAAGTTGAATTTGAATAAACTTCTCGGGGGCTTTTTTTCCTCACTCGCTAACTGACATAAATTTCCTGCCAATTTCGCGGGGGCGTGCGTAAACTTTCTCCGGCGCTGTATCGCGCAAAAAGGAGAAACTTAAATATTTATCGAATTCTTTTTCGTGTCAATTTCACACGCAGTCACTCAAATATTTGTCAATGTTTAATTTTGCCGAAAAACACACTCGTGAAGCACTTCGCGATGTTCCACTCGTCGACAGTCCAGCCAGAGGAGCAACTTTTCCGAGCGGAAAGCTTCGAGCGACTGAAGTGTGTTCCAATACTCGCGTGCCTTCCATGGGGAGAAATTAAACACTGGAAGGATTTCCCCACTTTCCAGGCGGGAGGGATGACTTGACTGCTTTTCCGCCGCTTTCCCACTCCTCTGCCAGGAATTGTACTTCTCAATTGTCTAGGAGAAACTCTTTCAGAAATGTTTCTTCCGCATTTTAGCACCCTCTCGTGACTCGTTTTTTATTGAACAAATAAAAATAATTACGAACATTTCATTTCTTATAGCACGCCGGAGATAATTAAAATTGAAAATAAAATTCATTCAACGGAGAATCATAATTCCCTGCTGAGAATATGCATTGCATGTTTCCTCGGAGCTGAATTATCACCCCATTCTTGCTACTTTTAATCGATTTTCTATTTGTTTAAATTTTAATAATTTCACACAACTCCCCATTGTCCGCGGAATTCACGGAAAATTAACGGTGCACAAGTAGAAATTACATAATTATTTAGGTACTTGCTTAGGAATGTACTCTTGATGAACTTTTCAACTTTAAAATAAGATGATTCTTAATGAAGATCATAAAGTTTGGGGTAAAGTGGGGCAACATCGATATTGACGATTATCTCGTATTTCGTAATTTTGAGCGATTGTCCGCGGTTTTATGAAGATAGTGCGCCTTATGATCTACTTTCAACTCACAAATTGACAGCGAAAGCCTTTTGGAAAGATATAATAGTCATGATTGGTGCTGCCCCAGTTCACCCTATAATGCATAAGTACTCTTAAAATTTGGTATCAAATATTATAACCGCTTATCTTTCAAATTAATAAATTATTCGTAATATGCATTAAAATAATATATCTTCATAAATTCAATTTTATATCATAAATATACTTTTGTATCAATGGTTCTTGATGTATTTTCAAAAATATATTGGGAAGATTAGAAAATATCATATTTTGTAACATGTACAGTGGCGAGATTTTAAATAGCGCCCCAGTTCCATTAGAAATTGTTTTCTAAGGTCCCTATAATCCTTTTAATATCATGAGGAACAGACTTCATGAATCTGGGCATGGTCATTACTTATTAATAAGGGAAGATTTGTGGAAAATTTCAGACCTATGTCTTAGAGCCGCGGGGGGCGCTATTTAAAATCTCGCCACTGTACATAGATACTAAAGAAGACTTCTGCAAAGGAGAAAATAATTACTTTTCTAACGTAAATAATATCCCACTTTGTGGTCTATTGATTATGCGGCAACATCTAGAAGAAAGTTTACCTTCTCGAGAAAAGTTTACTTTCGCCCATTTGACGATGGAAAGAACTGAGAGGCAGTTTTTATCGTGATTTCTTTATAATTTATGTGTTGTAATTTGAATATGCATATTTAACAACTTCATTTCACACCTGCCGTATCTCATAATGCGAATTTCAGATTTAATTTCAGATAAGATGCAACGCATCGTGGACTCCTTCTCCTCACACACTCCCACCCCTCGCCTGCGTCTCACCCCCTCCGCATTCCTCATCACTGGGCGACACATCATTTGCCAGAATTACTCGGTGGAGGGGGAACAAATGCGAAATTCATATTTGAGAGAGAGAGTGTATAATAAAATGGGATGGAGAAAGTATTATAATGAGACTCGGCCTGGAGGGTGAATCTTGCTCATCCACCTCCAATTCTCCTCAACTTCTCGTCGGCGAGGCTTTCATTGTGCGAATTGCAAGCTCAGAAATCATCCGGCGCAAAATACCCACGAAATGCTTCTCCGGCGAAGCACAAATCTGACTACATATATACTTATTGTTTGGTTTCTGCTTCGCCCAAGGTGTGTTTTCGTCCCGCCCCAGTGAGCATCTTCGCGATCTTTTGAATTCGGAAATATCCCTGGGTGTTTTCACTTTTTCGTATGATTTTTGCACTCTTTTTTCCCTGCATTTCTCTGAATTTTGTGCAAAAACATAGAAACACGTGGAATCGATATAAAAAATACCTGTATTTATCATTTATAAATTGATTCTGAGCATTAAATATTTGCAAAATAATCACTTAGAAGTTTATTATGCATAAAACATTTTCATTTGTAGATAAAAGGAAGAAAAATGGTGCATGAAAGCACTGGACGTGGTGCACCAGTGGCAAAAGAAATATTGAAGTCGATGAAAGGACTCTCGCCCAATAAATAATTCACTGAGTGGAATAAGCAGTTTTCCGAAAGTTTCCAAACAACTTTTCGTGAATTTTGATTAAAATAGTGGCATAAATAAATGTGAATGTGAATTTCTGAGATTTTTCATCAACTCTCAAGCGACGTGGCGTCTCAAGAGGAAAATGTTTAAGTAACTTTTGACCTCGTGGATTTATAGTATTCACTTATTAAGAGTTCTTTTCAATTTAGTCTGAGCGAATTTATGATTTTTCATATTGAGTTACACACTTCCACGCTCTTGCCGCCCCAAAGCGGGAGTGGCTCACGAAAATTTACAATATACTTAAACTAATACAAAAGAAGGGAGGGAAACTTTAAATGAACAACATCTTGAGGGAAAGTTTGTCGGCCCGTCCATGGGAAGCTTGTGCACAAAATTGAGAAACTATTGCTGCAGTTCAACTTTTATGCCACTCACTTCCGCTCGCCCGCTCTTCCTGCCCACTCCAGCGGCGAAAGCCTGCGCCGGTGTGTTATTGTTGGTGCATTCTTTGAGTGGTTTCAAATATTCAGTGGATTCTGGTATCAAGGTGGGAAGTTTTTCACTCTCTTAGTCATTCACTGGGTGGCTTGAGTGCTTCAGAAATAATTCTTCAGCAACTTCATAATATGCAAAGATAATTTTAAATGATAATATTTCTCTAAATTGCAGAATTTGTGCAATAATGCATCACTAAATCAATTAACAACACTAAAGGACTGCGGAAAAAGAACTGTACAAGGGGAAAATCACTAGCCGATTTTTGAAAAATTCTAATGATCTCAAACAAATACTGAATATTGATTTTTATTATCAAATAATCAAAGGTTGAAGAAAAGAAATCAAAAATTGAAATTTTTGAAATATTTTCAGAATTTTTTGAACCACTCTGACGGCAATATGTGAAGAAATTTTTTATAAATATATTTAAATTATGATTAAATAGTTCGAAAATAATCAAAACACGATTAAAATTTGTATGGAATAATCAAGATTTGAATGAAAAACACGAAAAATTAGAAAAAATGATTGAATAATCACAAATTTAATGGTCTGAATTTGCAAGTGACTTTCCGTTTGAAATTTTACAATGCATCTTAAAGTGCCTCTAAAAATTGACTTACGAAGAATATGTAAATATGCATAATATGGATACATATGCTATATATACATCATGTGTATTGGACATTCTTTGATATGCATGTTTATCTTTGAAGAGCGAAAACCTTGGCGAAAACTATATCCGATTGGAATTTGAGAAGAATGCCGTGCAATGATAAAATGTGATATATTGAAAAATATTGGATATTTTGTAGGATATTCAAAACTCTGCTCATATTTTCATATTTTTTTCTTCTTATTGACATTTTTATGTTAGTGCATAATATTTCTCATAGTTATGGATCTAGACTTGGCATTGAATACAGTCCGATTTTGTCTCAGAGCACGACAAAATCTAATTAAATACGCATGCATAGTTAGAACTTATGCACAGTATTTTTGAAATATTTTTTTTACTACGTATTGCAGCTTAATTGGATTTTATCGGTTTTAAAATAATATGAATTGCTTTTTTTTCTACAAAGAGTTAAGCGCCGTTTGTGCTATTGTCATGTTCATTGTTACCAAATGGATATTTTGTTTAACTTTTACATTCACCAATCGAGAGTGTATTGTTGATTTTATATTCCATCACGAATATAGTTCAATTTGACTTCGTGGATGGAAAGCACGATAATTGAGGAATAGCTATTCGATGAGGTGTGTGAGCTTTCGTGGCAGCAAAAAATGCAGAAAAATCAATTTATTGACACTGAGATTGTTGTTTTTTCTGCGGTGAGAATTTTCACATCGCCCACTCTCAGTCATCATCGTGATCCTTCCCATCGTCGGCATGTAATTTATTTTCGAGTATTGAGGTAAACACACCGACAACGGGAGGAAATTACACTTGCTAATGGGTGGAATTTTCGGGGATTTAATTACTCAAGGAATACGAACGTCTCTATTTGTACTGCATTAAAGCGTAATGCCGAGCATAGGCTCGACTTTCAGTGTGGGTGTTGCCTAACGAAGAAATGTGATTCAGATATTGATGAGGAGTCGAAGTTTTCTCTCCTCCATACGCAATGAGGCCCCGTGAGTTGTGGCGGCAGAAGATGTGCTCTCTGATGCTGTAGCATGAAAAAGATATCTGACACTGGGTTCGCATATTATTGAGACAAATGGATCTCTCGCATATTATTAAATTACATTAGTTGCTGTACCTCATATTAATACATAATCATCCTACACCTCTTGGCACCATCTACTCCCCGGAAGAGCTCCCACGAGGCTGGCGCACAGCAGTTCCACAGGTTCTGCCCAGAAAAGGGGTGTTGTTATTACATACGTATTGTGTTACAAAATGGCATATTTCGCACACTAGAGAATAGAAATCTCCATGGCTCTCTGTGGGCCTTCCTCTCAACGCAAAGGAGACTCAGTGGTTCGAAGAAAGCTAATGGACAGAGAAATGGTTAACATTTTAGCAGGACTGAAAGTCCGATCGGATTGCCCGAGAAATTCGAGTGACTCTCAGATGGGAAATCGAAGAGAATTTGATGAAGCAAAGTGAGCTCAAACACATATACCAAATTTCACAGATTAATGAGAAGTGCCCTGAAATACATCCTCCTGAGTTCCCAAGTTCATATCTTCAATTTCTTTAATTAAATTCTCATAGACACAAAATACAGTGTTTATTTATGGGGGTTTATGTTGGTTTATATAAGCTTGGTTTAGG